AGCCGTAAAATCGTAGCTTGAACAAAGTTTTTGCATAAAGTCAAACAAAATTTTTGATGAAATAGCTGCCCCCAATTTGTAAATATTGGCTTTAGGTCGTATTAAGAGTTTTGTTTACAATACGGGGTTTACTACATTGCACGCGTTGCTTGGAGCTATTAAGCGGAGGGAAACAAGAATCAATTTGACAAATTTTTGGTGTTGTTTAAAACCCTGTCGTAATTTAAAACCACGCAATACAGGAAACGGAAAAACCGTGATAAAACGTAAAGTATTTCATTTCCATACTTTATGGGTTTGTTGCATGATGCACGATTGCAATCTTGGCGTTGTCGTGCAACTGGGTGCAAGTTGGCGACTGCAGTGCGTGAACCCGGCACGAAAACACTTTGTAATATCGCAGGAAGCGTTCGAAATATTGCCTCCAGTGACATATTTACGTTGTGTCCGAAAAAGAATTGACATTTTAGAACGGATCTTTAATTTCGTCCGATCGCTCCTCGACACGTAACCGAGAAAAGTTTCAAAGAAAATCCACGTTAAATTCGCCGGATATTAAACGCTGAATCGCAGTTTTTATTAGGCGTTCGCTGTATAAACATTTATAATGTTAAATCTGTTTAGCGTTTATCGAAATTGAAAATTAAAAATTTTATTCGTGTTTTTTCACGAGCGGCCCTTATTTCATTCTCGTAAATTTTACGAGAAATCTTAATGAAATTCCTAACATTACCCTAAAAGGTTAATTGACCATTACCCTCCACCTTCTCCCATTAGATTTTACGATATACCTAAAACAGCTGGATCAACTTACATAATGTAATGAAGTGTTGAATTGTGATGCTTTGAAGTCCCATCTCCTGTGACCGATCTCCTAGTTGAGGTTAGAGCAGATTTGATATTGCTAAGTTGGGACGATTCCTAATTCGAAAATTCGTGAGTAACAACGTGAAACATCGGGATCGAACCCGGCGCAGAAAACACAGCTGAGGGAGATAAATGCAATCTGTTTGGTCATAGTTGGGCCAAATGCCTCATTTAACTAAGAACTACAGTAATATACATTTATCTGCTGTCCCATTCCGGAGATAACGACCAACCTAGAGGAAAATTGTTCCAACGGTGGAATATGATCGTCTTGACGTACAAGCCACGATACTACACTATAATTAGATGGATTTGGATGCGGATGGCGGCGCTCGACGTTCATTCTCAGTCAGGGTGAGCACAAGCGTTACGATAAACCCGGTTAAGGAAAAATGGACCAGCCAGAACAGACCAGAAGAGAGCTTTTAATAATTAAATAGCTGCATCCGACTGTAGTATCTCGGTTATAATTTGCTGAACTGTAAAAAATCAATTAGGGAAAACCGACATTATCGATTTCGCGTCACATGAAATTTTTGATAACCCTGCTTTATCACCGGTTAATAAATAACAAGCACATATAAATCCCAGGCCGTATTTGCATTCACTGTAGTGCACATCGAATGATAAATGATTGAATCACACAGTAAATTACCGAATAATTTAATTAAATTTTGCTGCGAGATAGGTCGATAGGTTCTTCACACGTTTAATTAAAATTTAAATTAATTGCGGTTCTCACGATTCGTGTGACCAACTGTGATCATTGCAGTACTTAATTAAATTTCTAACGCTTATTTTTGATATACACCAACTTAACGTCGCTTTAAGTCCCATTAGCTTCATGTTGAAAACTCATTATAAAATCGTTTCGAGCTCCTAAACTCCAACCATTTTTTTCTGTTGACATTCGTGCAGATTTAAATTCGCGTTTCCGACTAAACAAACACGACTTGTTCAGATTTGGTCTTAGTATTTTTATGATTTAAATATCGGATTTATGTGTTCTCCATACACGGGAGTATTAATAATGCGTTGTCAACAGCACTTCCCGTCAGAAGCTGTCCTGCTTGGCAATTTATTAGACAGCTCACATTCGGAATTTAAATTGAAACTGATGAGTGACGATTCGATGCAGATAACACGGCTAGTAAATTAAATTTAATTCAGAAATGATTGCGTTTTTAAACCGGACAGCTTCGACACGTTCTGAGAGAAAATTACGAGGAGCTTTAAAAGTGAGCCTGCATGAATTTTCTGTGTAATTTAAATTATAATTTACACATAAATGAAGTTTTCCTTCGCATAGCCGGATAAAAAATCAAATATTTAATGAACTTTGCTCGCGAACAAAACTCTAATAAAGTGCGGATCTAACTCTTTGAAGTGTTTTTTCTAATTAAGTGATGTTACTTTCTAACTGAATGTTGCGAGGGTGCTTAATTAAGGTATTCTTTCTTGATGTTCAGCTGCAGCGTGACGAAAAATTGATTTCTGGCTGGAACTTGAGCTGGAAGCACGCCAAACTTCGTCGGAACATGGAAACTTACACAAAACGCGCTTTTTTCGAACCTGAAAGCACCAAGACACTCGTAATTGTATCTGAGAATTTGAAACTTCGAAACCTGGATTGGGTAAAATTTTGACAAAAATGGTGGAGGCGCCGGGATAGTAAATAAATAATACTCCTAATTTGTATAATATTTGTCTGCGTACTCTCTCAAAGCATTCGAAATTGTATCAAACTTTGACGACAATACGAAATGGAAATTGTTTGAAATTTTGACCGAATCGAAAATGGTGGAGGCGCCGGGATAGTGAATAAATAATATTCCTAATTTGTAAAATATTTATCTGCGTACTCTCTCAAAGCATTCGAAATTGTATCAGACTTTGACGACAAAACGAAATCGAAATTGTCTGAAATTTTGACCGCATCAAAAATGGTGGAGGCGCCGGGATAGTAAATAAATAATACTCCTAATTTGTATAATATTTGTCTGCGTGCTCTCTCAAAGCACTCGAAATTGTATCAAACTTTGACGACAATACGAAATGGAAATTGTTTAAAATTTTGACCGAATCAAAAATGGTGGAGGCGCCGGGATAGTGAATAAATAATATTCCTAATTTGTAAAATATTTATCTGCGTACTCTCTCAAAGCATTCGAAATTGTATCAGACTTTGACGACAAAACGAAATCGAAATTGTCTGAAATTTTGACCGAATCAAAAATGGTGGAGGCGCCGGGATAGTGAATAAATAATATTCCTAATTTGTAAAATATTTATCTGCGTACTCTCTCGAAGCACTCGAAATGGTATCAGACTTTGACGACACTACGAAATCGAAATTGTCTGAAATTTTGACTATATCGAAAATGGTGGAGGCGCCGGGATAGTAAATAATAATTTTTAAAATATTTCTATCCGCACTCTCCAGCGTCGTAAAGGTCTCACCTCAAGTGTGTTTGATCTTAGTTTTCGACGGAAATGACGACCTATTTTTCGGGAGAGCATTTTGAGAGGTATCCACATAAATGTTGAAAACACTCTTCGAACATAATGGGAGATCATTATCAGCGATCACGACTTTCTCTTTAGTATTCGAAAAGTGTCTTAAGGATAATGCTAGAGGAGTAAATCGGAAGATGGATCGAGGCTTATCCTAGTAGGACGAAGAAAAGTTTAAAGAAAGCGTAATTCGGTTGAAATTATTGAAACGGTTGGTAAAAACTAGGAAAATGATTTCGAAACTTTGTAAATTAGGATTGATGAAGCGCAAATGGGTTCATACTTTATTAGAGAGACAATATAACTCGTTAACTTAGAATCCATCCATTAATAAGTGCTGTTTACGAAAAACGAATTGAATGAATAATGGAAATGTCATAAACAGGGAGCGTTTATGGAGTGAAAATTATTTTTAATTGGAGAAGTCTCTACAGTGCGGGAAATAAAGGTAAGTAATTAATCCAACAGGGTTCGTTTAGTGAACTAATATACCCAAATTGATGCAGAAATGAACTCAGTCACAATAAAACTGGCTGGAGGTTTTCAAGCCACTGCAATTAGCTTTGTGTAAGGAAAACATGTTAAGAAACGCATATATTAACGTCTACTTTTGTGTACAGCGGGTTCATTATACAGTGCTAGAGATTTCTGTTTGTAGAATAAAATTCGTCGAACCCATAGCAAACGACTCCCTCCAAGTCCAAGTATGAATAAGAAATGACTTAAGTAGCTTTCCTGTGACGCCGGGATTCAGCTTTATTAAAATTTGTATGGACTTGTATAGCTTAATTATACCAAGTTAAGAAGTTTGCGTTTCTTTCATTTACTCTGTCAACTGTTAAAACTTTTATAAAGTGTATATCAAATCTGTACATAATGAAATGATAAAGTTTTCGGTTTACGGAAAGTGGCAAATTCAAATTGTCACCGCAGCTGAAAATCTAATTTAGAAAAGTTGAAAACACGAACCCGTAATTAAATGAAATTTTAAACCCTCGTTAAAAATAAGAGCGAGAAACCGCACCGACTTGTATATAAATTCTTACGCGGATCGACGTTCCGCGGGGTCACTTTAAACCTTGTAACCGAAACAAGTTCGTCGAATTTTTAAGCGCAGATGTGTCGCTGGCTCGCAACCAAGAGCGAGATCACGTATCTGATACAAAAGCATAAATCCTCAAAACCCTTTTAATTTCTGCAAATAAAAGGCCCGTTCTCGACTCTATACCATATATTAAAAGGATTTTTCTAGAGAAAATAAAATTGAAATAACGCTGCGTCGGTGAAAAATTCGCACAAAAAATTCCCGCCGCTATTCCCTGAATGCCATCTAATTTATAATAATGCCTCAATTTGTGATCAGAATTTTATTTAACTTTTTAATTTATGATCAATACGAGCCTCCACTCCGCAGGGACACCTGCGCTTCGTTTTAAATAAAAATCGAGTATTAGAGTTTTCGACGGCGAATTTTCCTTATAAATTACACCGATAAAACGAGCTTGGTGTAGTTTTTGATTAATGGTGTAATTATGTCGTTTCTTATTGCTTATTAACACCGGACACAACATCGTTCGATCGTGGTTAGCTCAGGTCATGTTAGATCAGATATCACTCACTCTCAAATCTCCAGGAAAACTCGGATAAGTTCACTAGCACCCACTTCCAGTTTTATTGCACGATTAACTTAGAAAGTTTTCTATTTATCTATTTACACAGTGACGACATCAAGAGTTCACATGCAGGATAACAGTACTTAATCTTACTACTATGGTAAAGGTGGAATGGTTGGCGAGTGTGCGGTTCGTCTACGAGCACGAAAAGTGTACGTGTCGGTTTGACTTTATCTGCAGCTTAGACCGCGCCGAACGGAGTTTCGCGTCGTATTGCGAATTCGGCCTTACATTCCGCGCTAGCTAGCTGCAAGGGGGTGGTGGTGGCGGCAGAGTCTGCGGACAACTAACGCCGCCCTAACCCCGCGCCCTGTCTCAACTCTTTCGCAGGAACTGAATGACCCGAGAGGAACTGCTGTCTGTGGGGTCGGGGGGGAGGGTCACGTGGTGGGTTAGTGTGGCTAAGATGTCCAGATTTGTTTTATTTTGAAAGGGAAAATTTTGTGATTTTTTTAAGGATTGTTTTTGTGAAAGGGGGTGGAGCCTCACAGAGGTTAAGTCTGTTTCTAACGTATATATCAGTGGAATTTGATATGTTTGGTGATGATAGAAACCTTCATGTAGGGTAGAGAGTGTAAATGAATTTACTGAAAATGATTGATGGATTGTAACATTATTTAAAAAATTACGTAAAAACAACTCTGAGTGGTGTACGAAATGTATACATAATTTAATGATTGGATGTATGTTTCACTGACAGATTAATTTATGCCAGGAAAAATTTGTCTGATTCGTTTTCAAATTTGGAAACTAAAGCCAGTTAATTAATTAATACTCGATGATTAAATTGATAACCTAAAAATCTAGAAAAAAATTCTTTTCTTTTCGTAATTTAAAATAAAATTATTGAAAAATTGTTAAAATTGATATAAGTTTTATTGGCTGTTCTTGAAAAATGGTAGGAGTTATTGAAGAAATGAGCCCGAAACTAACTTCTGGAGGCCAAAATCTACTAGAAAATGTTTTTAGATAAATTTTGAACATTTTTTCCTATTTCAATTTTCCAAAGGGAAATAAAGAAAAATTCTGCTTTTGGAAAAAATTGCGAAAAAAGTCCCAAAAAATTCTGGCATGTAGATTTCAACGTGCTGATTCCAAAAATATATCGTCTTTCCGAGATTACCTGTCTAATGAAAATGGATACAGACATTAGGTAGACAGACGCCCACCCGCCTTCTATTTTCTTAAAAGGTATATCATTCGTCAAAATCAGTCATATCGTAACAAGTATTAGCCCCGCCCACCCACCCTCTACTTTCTTAGGGGGTGTATGATTTGCCAAATTAATCTTATCGTGGCAAATACAAGCCCCGCCCACCCACCCTCTGTTTTTGTAAAGGGTGTATCATTTGCCAAATTAATCTTATCTTAGCAAATACAACCCCCACCCACCCGCCCTCTATTTTCTTAAAGGGTATATCATTTGCCAAAATCAGTCTTATCCTTAGCAAGTACAAACCCCGCCCACCCGCCCTCTATTTCCTTAAAGGTATACCATCTGCCAAAATCAGTCCTATCTTTAAAAGAACAAGATTTTTGAAATATTCAGTTTCAAAATCAATATTTTTAAATAAGTTAGTATTAAAAAAAAAATGGTGGAGTTATTGAAGTCATGCCACCGAAACCAATTTTTGGAAGCCGAAATTTACAAGGAAATGTCTTTAGTTAAATTTCGAAAATTTCGTCGAAAATTGGCCGAAATTTTCCAAAGAGAAGATTTTGAAAAATTTTTTTTTGAAAAAGTTGCCAATAAATTTATAAAAATGCAAGGATACAGATTTCGACGTGCTAATTCTGAAAGTATGGAGTACTTATAAGTCCCTAGTCAAGATTCCAGGAATATTCGGTTTGAAAATCAATTTTTTAAAAATTGAAAAATTACTAAATTTTAATGGGCGATTCTGACAAAATGGTAGGAATTACATAACTAAAACTGGTTTTGGCAAATGACATACTCTCTAAGAAAATAAAGGGTGGGTGGGTGGGGTTAGTACTTGTTAAGATAAGACTGATTTTGGCAAATGATATATATTTAAGAAAATAGAGGGCGGGTGGGCGGGGCTAGTACTTGTAAAGAAAAGACTGATTTTGGCAAATGATATACTTTGTAAGAAAATAAAGGGCGGGTGGGCGGGGCTTGTATTTCCTAAGATAAAACTGATTCTGGCAAATGATATACCTTCTAAGAAAATAGAGGGAGGGTGGGCGGGGCTAGTATTTGCTAAGGTAAGACTTGAACAATTTCAAGAGTAGTCACTAGAATGAATAAGGGGTATAGAAAAAACTAACCCCCCCCTTCAACTTTGCACTGTCTTATTTTATTTAGATTTTTGTCGAAAAATTTTGTTTTTCAAAAAGTGGTCAAAAAATTCTCAGAAAATTTTTGTATGTAGATTTCCACGTGCTGATTCCAAAAATATACCAGTTGGATTATCGTTTTTTTTTTATAAAAAAAATATGCAAAATTTCAATGGCCGATTCTGGAAGAAATCTACAATAAAATTTTAATTTGGATAAGTTCCCAAAAGAAAAACGGGACACAGATTTCGACGTGCTAATTTTAAAAATGAGTGTTTATAGTCCCCAGTCAAGATTTCAGGAATACTCTGTTTGAAAATCTTTTTTTCTTTATTCCAAAAATTACTAAATTTCATTGGGCGATTCTGGAAAAATGGTAGGAATTACCTAAGAAATCGATGGCAAAGTAACTTCTGGAGGTCTAAATCCATAAGAAAATGTTGTTAGTTAATTTTTCTAATGGAATCCTAAATACCGAAAAATTTCGTTTTTGGAAAAGTTGTCAAAAAATATTCAAAAAATTCTGGAATGTTGATTTCCAAGTGCTGATTCCAAAAGTATAGCGTGTTTAAGGTTTAAATCAAGATTTTAGAAAAATTCGGTGTAAAAATATTTTTTTTTTATTTTCCAAAAAATTTTAAAATTTCAGTGGCCAATTCTGAAAAAATAGTAGGAGGTATCGAATAAATGGGACCCAAAGCAACTTCTGGAGGACGAAACCTTTAAGAAAATGTTCTTAGATAAGTCTGGAAAATAGTCGGAAATTGACCAAAATTTTGATTTTGAAAAAATTGACAAAAACTTTCCAAAAATAATGGGATATAGATTCAGATGTGCCGATTTTGGAAATATATCGTGTTTAGTGTCCTAGGTCGAGATTTTAGAAATAAATATTCTATTGGAAAGTCAAAATTTTTTTTTATTAAAAAATTCCAAAATTTCAGTGGATAATTCTGGAAAAATGGTAATATGTAGTTATCAAAGAAAGTAGCCGAAAGTAACTTCTTGAGGTTGAAATCTACAACAAAATGTCTTTGGTTAAGTTTGAAGACTGGTCAAAATTGACTGAAATTTTCCTACGGGAGATTTGAAAAATTTTGATTTTGAGAAAAAGTTGTCAAAAAATTTACAAAAAATTGTCGGACATATATTACGACATGTTGATTCTAAAAGTAAAAAGTATTTAAGTCCCGGGTCAAGATTTTGGAAATATTTGGTTTGAAAATATTTTTGTTTTAATCCAAAAATTTTCAAAACTTCAGTGGGCAATTCTGGAAAAATGGTTAAAGTTATCCGGTAAATGGGGTCGAAAGTAATTTCTGGCGGTTGAAATATATAAGAAAATGTTTTAGTTAAGTGTCGAAAATGGTCAAAAATTGTCCGAAAGTTTTCTAAGGAATTTAATGTTTTTTGAAAAATTTTGTTTTTGGAAAAGTTGGCAAAAAATTCTCAAAAAATCTTAGTATGTAGATTTCCACGTTCTGATTCCAAAAATATAGCGTTTTTAAGTTCCCGAATCAATATTTTAGAAATATTCAGTTTAAAAATCATTTTTTTGCAAAAAAAATTAAAATTTCATTGGTCAATCGTGGAAAAATAGACTTCTGGAGGTCGAAATCTATAAGAAAATGTTTTTAGTTAAGTTTGGAAAATGGTCGAATCTTGACAATTTTAAAAATTATGAGATATAGATTTAAAAATTTTTTTAATCCAAAAAATTTCAAAATTTTAGTGGGCAATTCTGGAAAAATGGTAGAAGTTATCGAATAAATGGGGCTAAACTTAACTTCTACTCAAAATTGTCCGAAATTTTCCAAATGGAATTCCAATAATTTATATCGCAAAAATTTTGTTTTTGGAAAAGTTATCAAAAATTCTGCTATGTAGATTTCCACGTGCTGATTCCAAAAATATAGCGTGTTTATAGTCCCCGGGTTAAGATTTTAGATAATCCAAAAATTCCAAAATTTCGGTGCCATAACTCCTGCCATTCTGGAAATTTATTTAAGAAATGAAACGAAAATTTACTTTTGAAAATCGAAATCTACAAGAAAATTTCTCTATTTAAGATTAAAAAGTGATCGAAAATTGGCTGAAATTTTCCTAGGCAAAGGGAAATCCGAAAAATTTCGCGTTTAAAAAAGTTGCTAAAAAATCCCAAAAAATTGTGCATTATAGATCTTGACGTGCTGATTGCAAAGATATACCGTGTTTACATTCCACGGCCAAGACTTTAGAAATATTCGGTTTGAAATTCAATTTTTTTTTAAATCCAAAAATTTGCAAAATTTTAGTTAGAGATTTTGGAAAAATAGTAATAATTATTATCGAAGAAATGAGGTCAAATGTAACTTTGAAAACGAAATCGACAAGAAAAATGGTCGAGAATTTGCCGAAATTTTACTACGGGGATGCTGAAAAATTTTACATTTGGAAAATTTGTTAAAATATTTTCAAAAAATTGTATCATGTCTAATCAATAGATCCGAAAGTAACTTCTCGAGAGTGAAATGTGTAAGATAATGTTTTAGTTATAATTCGAAAATGGTCTGACATTTTCCTAAGGAGAGATATTGAAAAATTTTGTTTTTGGAAAAGTTGTAAAAAAAGTCTCAATAAATTCAGGTATGCAGATTTCCACTTGCTAATTCCAAAAATATAGCGCATTTTTGGTTCCGTTTCAAGATTTTAGAAAAATTCAGTTTGAAAGTCATTTTTTTTTTAATCCAAAAAATTTCAAAATCTCACTGGGCATTTCCGGAAAAACGGTAGCAGATATCGAATAAGCAGGGCCGAAAGTACTTATAGAGGTCAAAACCTAGAAGAAAACGTTTTTAGATAAGTTTCAAAATTGGTCAAAAATTGTTCGAGATTTTCCTATTGAAAAATTTTGTTTTTGGAAAAGT